GTGGGATTGTGTTTATTTGAACGGCATCCAGTAGAATTTTGTTCAGTTAGGGAATAGTTAGGAGTTACGGAGGAATTGTTCAGTTTGTTAGTAGTTCTGTTAATTTCTTCGCTGCTAGGGTTAAATAAATAAATTGTTGCTTGTTACTTATAAAGTGACTATCAAGAATTTTCTTTCATTTAACCCTCCCTTCTCCGTAACCATTTAACAGATGAGGCACGGTGAGTCTAGCTTCTCTGGATGTTTTGGGTTTAATTATTAGAAGGGGACCTCTACTCCTGCCATAACAGATTGGGGGCCTGTGTCTTGATTTTAATTATCAGAGGAGTTCGACATCCTCTTCCTAGCAAAGTTAACAGTCTTGTTACCAATGTCTGTGAAAAGTACTTTATTTCTTGCTTTAGTTATGATAGAAGATAAAAAAAATTGATCCCAATACAACAGACACAAAAATTGGAAGCGACAATGAAGGTATAGTTGGCCAAAAGTTTAGAAAATCCTGAAAATAATTTAATTCAACTGACAGGATCACAGTTTTTGTTGTCTTCAAGGATCCAGTAGCAATGGCACTCAGTATGGAGGCTTGGATGAGTCAGGTTGCTGGGATCAGTTAAGAATGGAGCTATCAGAATTAACTTGCTAGTAAATGCAATATTTTCTTACTATTTCTTCTTTTCCTTACATCTGTTGTATCCCCTTGCTTCAGTAAGCATGTCTCTTTAATTCCTCATCAGCAGTACAATGAAGAAATTGGGCAGTTGAGCACATAATGATGAAAGTCATTTCCAGGGCATGCCTGATAAAAGTGGTGCCTGCTGAAGTCTGATGAGGCCCTTTAAAACAGTAAGCTTAACCATATCATTACAGAAATTTTCATAATGATCTCCTAAGGCAGAACAATGTTTCTGGATGAAGTAATTTGTAAAGGATGAAAACAATTTACCATTATTCTTCCGTTGTTCTATTTGCAAGTATTTCCTCAATCTGTTATTTTCTCTTCCACTTTCTTTTCTAACATTATTTAATTTGTTGTGTGTCTCTGTTTTCAAATACTTTACTGTTATATTCGTCTCTAGTTTGTTTCTTTATAGAATTGCCTGCAAATATATGTGCTTCCATATGCAATAGCTAGAAAGGCTGTGTCCAAATACATTTTCCAGTGGGTGCTGCACTATACATCTGAAGAGAAGAATGTCTAAAGGATAGACTAATGAGAAGGATGTATTCAAAAAGGTACTCTATACTCAGATGGGTAAAAGCATTATAGCATTTGCTACATTTCAGAAAGAAATGTTGTCGGTTGAAGTTTTGTTTCATTATTTTTCTTTCATTGTTTTCTTCAATAAAATTGATTGATATCCTCAGAGGTCATAGAACTACAGTGCAATTATCCTGAAGATAATGAATAAGCTGAAAGCTTTTTGTGAAAGAGAAAATGGAAAGGGATTAGAAAAAGCTTTATAAATTGATAATATGAGCTCTTTATTTTTCTTTGAATGATTGAATACCCTTTAGTGCTCTGCAATTTGGTCAATGCAACTTTAATTAGATAGGAGGCTGCTAGAGAATGGAGGAAATGTTATTAGATATGACATTTGAGTTTATCCATATAATCTCCTCTCTACTCTTGAGTAGAGTGGATGAAACACAGCCTCTAACCCTGATTATTCTTAGAAACAGGAATGGTGAAGTGCATTACTGATAAAATAAGAAATGTTTCTGGGCTCTGGTGTCTTATCTGTTTTGTAGCAATGTGGACAGATGCTGTTTTTCTGTACTGTTTATACAAGGATAGAGAGGGAGATGGTGGGGAGGGGACAGTGGGTGGCTACAATTATCTCCAGTAAATAAAAAAGCCTTGACAGTCCAAATCTCTCGCCAGAAGAATTGATTAATTTTATAAGCGCAATTTGTGAAAATGCACTTTGCTTGTCAGTATCCACTTTTCAAAGAGGCCACTGAGGCGTAGCAGTGAGATCAGAAAAACACGATCCGCAAGAAAGACTTCAGATCAATCAGTGCCTTATGAGCATAATTCATTTGGAATTCCCAGTGGCAGACTGTCGCCAGCTGCCCAGCAGCATTGTGGTACCCACTAAATAGGTGAAGAGGCAACAAAGCGCAAAGCTATGGGCAGAGAATCTGAAAGAATGTTCAAATAAGGAATAAAAATGGTCCTTTCTCCGAACTAGTTCCCTTCCTTACCTCAGTGAGTCACAAAGGAGATAGTCTTATTCAGTCCTGCAGCCACATATGTGCCACTGTTCAATGCAATGTATGCCTCCATCTTGCCAAAAACACTACGATGGATTTGGGAGCAGCTGGAATTGTGGCAAACAATGAAATCTCTTTTCCTGATGTCTGTTTGCAAGGTGGTGAATGCAAGACTGACTCAGCTGCCACATGAAACTGTAACAACGAAAATGGGGAGAGGGAAAAGCGAAGTATCTGCATCCCAGATAAATTTCAACTTTTGTTAGTCCTATTGGCCACTATGATTGCCATTTTCAATGAAATTCAAAGTCAGAAAATCAAGTGCCAAAAGGTAGGGAAGGATGAGCCTAAAATAATCACAATCTTTAGAGAAGAAGCACAAGGAAAACTAATGACAAGTCCCCTAGACCCAGCAACATGCATTCTTGGGTCTTAAAAAAGTGGCTGCAGAGATAGTGGATTATTGTAATCTTTCAAAGTTCCTTAGATTTGGGAAAGGTCTCAGCAGGATGGAAAATGCAACTGTAAGACCCTACTGATAAAGGGAGCAAGACAGGAAGCAGGAATCTATAGACCAGTTAATCTAACATCTGTCATCAGGAAAATGTTAAAATTCATTATTAAGGAGGCTGTAGCAGGACATTCATAAATTATAATAAGATTAGGCAGAATGAACATGATTTCGAGAAAGGGAAATCATGTTTGACAAATTTGTTAGAGTTCTTTTAACAAGCAAGGTGGATAAAGGCAAGCCAATAGATGTAGTGTATTTGCATTTCTAAAAAGGCATCTGATAAGGTGCCATATAAAAGGTTGCAATACAAGATAAGAACTCATGGGGTGATATGTTAGCATAGATAGAGAATTAAATAATATAAAAGTTGAAGTTGTCATTGTCTTACCAGACCCTTAGGCTGCTCTCTCATTCGAGAGGGACAACTGATCATTTAGCCTGAGGGTCACCACACCTCAGGCAAGAGGAGGGGTTAAGAAAGGAGTTAACCTCAGCCAGTGCAGGAATTAAACCAATGTCTGCATCATAAACCAGCCAACTGAGCTAACCAAACCATAACATAACATAAAGAGTCAGGATAAATGGATAATTTTCACTTTGGCAAACTGTAACTGTTGGGGTGCCATAGAATCAGGTTTAGGATACTGTCTTGATTTTATTTAATGATGGAACAGGCTTGAGAGGTTGCATGAACTTGTTCTGCTCCTATTTCTTATGTTTTATTTCTTCTTTCCAATTTTATTATACTCACTTTTATGTGATAATCTAGTCGACATTAGTCCAGACCTGTTTTGAGTCGAGACTTAGAATCATATCCAAATCTCCACTGCCTGCACCCTAACTCACTCCAAATTCCATTCACCCAGCTTACTGACTTTTATTGTCTTCTGGTTAAGCAAGAGCTGCAATTTTAAAGTTCTCAGCTTTTTTTCAACTCTCTCCACTGCTCGTCCATCCCTTTCTCAGTTATCTTCTCCAGTCCTACAACCTTCGAAGATATCTGCTCTAAATTTGGCCATCTTCAATTTTAAGTCATCCATCATATCCTTATCTGCGAAGGATCAAAAGTTCCGGAAATCCCTCCCTAAATCTTTCCATTTTTCATCCTCCCTTAACACTTTCAAAATGCATCTTAATACCCACCTCTTTGACAAGCGTATGATTACCTGCCCTAATATTTGCGTACATGGTTCAGCGACAAATTTTGCTTTATAAAACTCCTGTCAAGCACCCTGTAGTGATGTTTCACTTTTAATGTTGTTATATAAATGTAAGCTGCTGTTGCATGAGCAATGTGTGTGGAAACCTTCAGGTTGATGAAATGTTAGGCAGCCTAGGTTGTGCTAAATTTTTAATGTTGCAATATATTTCACTTTGTTTGTTTTAATTTTTACAGAGAAGATTTGTGTATTCACTCAATCACTCGATATTCACATATCTGAAGCAAGATCAGAGAATTCACTAGTCAATGTGAGTTATGTCTCAGCTTGATGTGCTATGTTTTAGTGTTGGTAGCATCTATGGCTTTTAATGATGATACTAATATTCCTAATAACAATAATAAACAGCATAATCGAATGCTTGAACTTTTTTCAATCAGCCCGGCACTAATAGATATTTCAGTGTTCAGAAGGAGGAATTTTGGGAAGCAGGCAAATAATTTTGTTTGCAACCCAAGAAACTAAGGCAGATTTGTTCCAATGAAGGTGTCTTGAATAGCTAAAATCTCTGGTTGCTCATTACTGAAATCGCCTTTGTCAATTTCCAACCCCTTATGAGCAATTGATTAACTATCAACGTCAAAACAATTCATCATAAAGCACAGTTAGCAGCAAAGATATAGAAAGTTATTTTAAGCCTCTGCTTTAATGTTTCACTAATTCCCGCTCATCTGCAACACTTTGTTTTGCATACAACGGGAGTAAGCAGGATTTTTTAATCCCTCTGCCACTTCCTTGCTTGAGAGCACCAGCACATTAAGCCACAACTTCAGCTATATAACTCTGAAGAGATACAGAGATACACTGTGGAGGAAGGGCCAATGGTTCACCGGAAACAGGAAGGTAAAAGTGACCAAACGATGCAAGCCCAGAATGCTTCTCCTGCTGCCCAGTTGAATGAAACATTGGAAGGGATTGCATTCCATTTAATTGAAACTCTTTCCTTTCAATGGCAATGCTGAGTGGAGCCCATGTAGGCTAAAAATAAAATGTAGTGAGAAAAGAAATACTGAAAGCCATCAAGTAAAATAAAAACAACATGCTTAACTTACCTTGTTCTATGTCAAACACTTCGACAGTATTGACAAAATGTGGCCTGGAGTAGAAGTTGTGAGGCCCAGGCTGCTGAAGACCTCCAAGGCTATAAAAGCATTTCTCAGTCATAGCGCAATTAGCAAATGCACGGCGGGTAGGAATGCTGGGATATTTGGTCCAGCTCTTTGTTTCCAAGTCTAAGGCTTCAAAAGCGGTCACGGGTAGTTTGCCCTGTCTTCCTCCTAAGATGAAACAAAGGGTTTGGATCACTGTACTTCATCAGTACATGCATCATTTTCTAAATAGGACTGCACAATTTTACTGCAGGCCACATTCACTGAAATATTTTATTTTGCTGTTGACTAAATATTGTTGACTAATGCTTATGTAAACCCAAGAGAGCTATAGCTTTTCAAGCAAATAATGTAATGTAGGACATTAGTAGTCCATTGTCAAGGTACCTGTGGGGAAGAAAGTGTAGAAATTGGCAAGCCATATTGATGCTGTACAGAAATTTGGTTAGGTCATATTTGGAATATCGTGCACAGTCTGGTTGCCACCTACCAGAAGGATGTGGAGGCTTTGGACGCTTTGGAGAGGGTACAGAAAAGGTTTACCAGGATAGTGCCTGGTTTGGACAGTATTAGCTATGAGGAGAGATTAGACAAACTTGGTTTGTTTTTGTTTGAATGCTAAGGGGCGATCTAATAGAAGTTTATGAGAGGCATAGACAGAATGGATAGTCAGAATGTTTTTCCCAGGGTAGAAATATCATTTATTAGTGAAGATGGGTTTTGGGTAAAAGGGGGAAAGCTTAAAGAGATGTGAAAAGCAGGTTTTTTACACAGAGGGTGTGTAAAAATTTCTGAAGAAGGGTCTTGACCCGAAACGTCAGCTTTCCTGCTCCTCTGATGCTGCTTGGCCTGCTGTGTTCATCCAGCTCTACACCTTGTTATCTCAGATTCTCCAGCATCGGCAGTTCCTACTATCTCTTGACAGATACATGAATAGGCAGGGAATAGAGGGATACAGATCATGTAGAGGCAAAACAGGTTTAGTTTAGAAAGGTGTCAAGTGTCAGCAGGAGTTTGACAGGCCTTAGTGTCTGTTCCTGGGCTGTATTGTTCTTTGTCCTTTCAAAATAAGTCTGTTCGTTCCTAGCTGTACACATAAGGGTTGCAATATGTGTTTGTGTGTGGGGTGGAGATGGGGAGCAAAAATGGCCGGAGACTGGGCCTCAGGCTTCAGTTAACTGTTCTGGCGAATATCCATTAAAGGCTGCCCTCTCTTTTAGATGTATAAATTTGAGCCAGCCTCCCTCCCATTTGGATTCACAAAACAAAGAAAACTTACTAAACTCATTCGATGTTGCCCACAGCTGTGCAACATATCCTGTATGACCAACATAAGTATACATTGGGTGTGACGGTAGTTGTGAGTGAACGTAAGGCATTATTTTTCCATAATGCATGTTACACTACAGATCAGCTTTAGTTCCAGCCAGATATTAATATGTCTGAATGACGGCTGATTGCAGGCATATTTCAGAAGTATGGCAGCAGAATTCCCTTGGCTTTCCATCACATTCCTTTGAGCTTTTCACTTGACATTTTAAACCTTAATAATATGATCATTTTCATTTAAAAAAGAATTCATAGAATTCCTACAGTGTGGAAACAGGCCCTTTGGCTCAGCAAGTCCACACTGAACCTCAGAGCATCCCACACAGACTCATCCCCCTGTAACCACCTAATCTACACATCCCTGAACACTTAGGGCAATTTAGCATAGCCAATTCACCCAACCTGCACATCTTTGGACTGTGGGAGGAAACTGGAGCACCCAGAGGAAACCCACTCAGACACAGGGAGAATGTGCAAACTCCACACAGACAGTTACCCAAGGGTGGAACTGAACCCAGGTCCCTGGGGCTGTGAGGCAGCAGTGCTAACCACTGAGCCACCGTGTCGCCCCCTCTTGGATTATACAATATCCCCAACAGAAGAATTTTACACTCGAGAAGAGTGGCTCAGAAAATGACCAGGTCCCAGGTGAGGTCCCAAAATTATTTATGGTTTCTTCTTATTCTTGAATAGGGCAGAGTCTCCTGTTCAATGGACTCTGGAATGCAGAAGATGGGACCAGCTCCTTCTTAAGATGGGTATTCCCACTTCCCTGGGCCTTAAAGAGCCCAGTGGTAGACTGGTCCATGCAGCAAGGTGAAGTGTACTGAATAACAGAAAGGAGAAATAGATCTCACTCAGAAGGGAGCTCCATTAAGGAAAGCACCTTGAGCTAGTGAAGCTAAGTAATCTTTTATAGAAATTTATAAGTATGTCCCATTACACAACAACCATTAGTATTAATATATGGGGCTTCTCATGTGGGAAGGTCTGTGTAATTCCCTCCAGAGCTGATAGACAACAAGTCTCTACTTATTTCTTACCAATTAAGTATCTTCTCACTAGCCATGAACTGCAGTGGAGGCAGTATGAAGGATGAGGTAGACAAGCTCCTAATGTAACAGAGATAGTAGGAACTGCAGATGCTGGAGAATCTGAGATAACAAGGTGTAGAGCTGGATGAACACAGCAGGCCAAGCAGCATCAGAAGAGCAGGAAGGCTGACGTTTCGGGCCTAGACCCTTCTTCAGAAATGGGGGAGGGTAAGGGTATTCTGAAATAAATAGGGAGAGAGGGGGAGGCGGATAGAAGATGGATTAAGGGTAAGGTTGGTGGAGAGGAGACAGACAGGTCAAAGAGGCGGGGGTGGAGCTAGTAAAGGTGAGTGTATGTGGGGAGTTAGGGAGGGGATAGGTCAGTCCAGGGAGGACGGACAGGTCAAGGGGGCGGGATGAGGCTAGTAAGTAGGAGATGGGGGTGGGGCTTGAGGTGGGAGGAGGGGATAAGTGGGAGGAAGGACAGGTTAGGGAGGCGGGGACAAGCTGGGCTGGTTTTGGGATGTGGTTGGGGGAGGGGAGATTTTGAAGCTTGTGAAGTCCACATTGATACCATTGGGCTGCAGGGTTCCCAAGCAAAATATGAGATGCTGTTCCTGCAACCTTCAGGTGGCATCGTTGTGGCACTGCAGGAGGCCCAGGATGGACATGTCGTCTGAGGAATGGGAGGGGGAGTTGAAACGGTTCGCGACTGGGAGATGCAGCTGTTTGTTGCGAACCGAGCGTAGGTGTTCCGCAAAGCGGTCCCCAAGCCTCCGCTTGGTTTCCCCGATGTAGAGGAGGCCACATCTGGAACAGCAGATACTTCATCCCTCACACCCACTCCTCGCAATAACAACCAAAACAGAATCCCCCTCGTCCTCACATACCACCTCACCAACCTCTGGATCCAACGCATCATCCTCCAACACTTGCGCCATCTGCAATCCGACCCCACCACCAAAGACATTTTTCCCTCCCCACCCTTATCTGCTTTCCGGAGGGACCACTCTCTCCGTGACTCCCTTGTCCACTCCACACTCCCCTCCAGCCCCACCACACCCGGCACTTTTCCCTGTAACCGCAGGAAGTGCTAAACCTGCCCCTACACCTCCCCCCTCACCCACACCCCAGGCCCCAAGAAGACGTTCCACATCAAGCAGATGTTCACCTGCACATCTGCTAATGTGGTATACTGTATCCGCTGTTCCAGATGTGGCCTCCTCTACATCGGGGAAACTAAGCAGAGGCTTGGGGGCCGCTTTGCGGAACACCTACGCTTGGTTCACAACAAATAACTGCACCTCCCAGTCGCGAACCATTTCAACTCCCCCTCCCACTCCTTAGACGACATGTCCATCCTGGGCCTCCTGCAATGCCACAACGATGCCACCCGAAGGTTGCAGGAACAGCACCTCACATTTCGCTTGGGAACCCTGCAGCCCAATGGTATCAATGTGGACTTCACAAGCTTCAAAATGTCCCCTCCCCCAACCGCATACCAAAACCAGCCCAGCTTGTCCCCGCCTCTCTAAACTGCCCTTCCTCCCACCTATCCCCTCCTCCCTCCTCAAGCCCCATCCCCATCTCCTACCTACTAGCCTCATCCTGCCCCCTTGACCTGTCCATCCTTCCTGTGCTGACTTATCCCCTCCCTAACTCACCACCTACACTCACCTTTACTGGCTCCACCCCCGCCTCTTTGATCTGTCTGTCTCCTCTCCACCTATCCTCTCCTTTATCCATCTTCTATCTGCCTCCCCCTCTCTCCCGATTTATTTCAGAATACACTTCCCCTCCCCCATTTCTGAAGAAGGGTCTAGGCCCGAAACATCAGCCTTCCTGCTCCTCTGATGCTGCTTGGCCTGCTGCGTTCATCCAGCTCTGCACCTTGTTATCTCCTAATGTAACAGCCAGGATTGCAACCTATGCGTTTCTGGAAAGTGCGAAAGAGACTGATACCTCTTCATTCCTGCATCAATATAGCCTACATTTTGATTCCTTAAATTTAGTATTGGATTCCTTATTGAAAAGGGCCGGCCAAAAGGATTACTGTGTTCGGCATCCTTGAGTGTTTGAATTCAAACTAACGATGGGATATACCTCAATCTGAATATGAGATGTGCAGAATCTGCCTGGAGTTAGAGGGATCTTGGAAATCTATGGCTTGTTCTTAGCTGCTCACTCAGTAGAAATCCGTCCCACCTCCAAACCACTTCCCAAAAGTGAAATCAAGGCAGTAGCAGTGATCCACTTGTAGAAAGGGTGAGAAAAAGAGCATGTGACACTAGTGGTCAGACCTGCTCATTCTCTTCAGTACATTCAAGACTATGTTGCGATGATTAGGATTCTTGAACCAAGAAAATCAAAAGATATGGGAGTAGGACAATGAAGATGAAATTGAAATGGAAGATTATTTATCATTTTATTCAAAGACAGAGCAGGTTCAGTGCACTGAAAAGCCTCCTCCTAATGGTATTTCTTCTGTTCTCTCAGACCAGAATTACTTCCAGCTCGTATAGAGAACTTCAATGTCTTCTCCAGCAAGTATGTCAAATAAGCAATTATATTGTGAAAATAAAGCTAAAATACTAATGTGTTTGTACAGAATAAAGTAACAGCAACAAGATATTATATGCAGCCTTCCAGAAGTGGTCATTTACCTAGAACATAGATTTTATTGCCCTTGATGAAAGAAGAGGCTGCATACTGTGGTGTTGGCATCGGTGGTAGGGGTTGCCAATGATCCCTGGTTGGTTCATATACACGTACCAGAGCTTGTGGAGCTGCATCAGAACCCATGCCTCCCAAAGCGTACACTCTGCCATCTAAAACATAATTCACATAATCAGATTAGAAGCGTAACAAGGCTTTAACAAGTGAAACCAATAACGTTATAATTTAATATAATGGCTTACATATCCCATTACACGTTAGACCCAGTAAGTTTTGGATCGGCACTGTTATTGTTAAATCCCACCGTACCAGATGCTTTTATGTTTTCAACAATCTGTTGACAAGTCTGAATACAGAAATAATATTCAATAAATCTGGTTTCAGCATATTGATTTATTGTAGTTCAAGTTTTTGTCTGAGACTTGTTTGTATCGACTCTTGTCTCGTGCAGATTTCACATATTTAGTGTGAGTTTCTATGATACAGGATTAGTGAATTTTTATGACCAAACGTCAGTGGGAATTCTTCTCCGCGGCTCATGGCACAGCAGCAAATGCTCAGGCAACATCCTTACAGCCTTAAATGGCTTTCTGTGTCAGTGCATTTGGATTGAATATTACAACCGTGGCATCAAATCTGATTCAGAGAATTCATAGCATTTCACACTTACACAATTGCTTAATTTGACTAATGCCAAAATTAAACCAAAATTTGCACTGTGTTCCATGTTGATCTATCAGTAGCAACTCACATTTCCTCAGAATCTGACTAGTACATGCCAGAATGTGAAAATCAGTGTGAAACAAGCAGAAATCTGGTATTTGATAAAGGCCTGGGGAAAATGTGGATTCTATGCCATTTTTCTTCTTTAAGTTCCTCTTTATTAATACCATAAAAATTAATATTTGATGTCATCAATCGATGGTCTTTATGCGCATTCAGGTATAATGCAATTGTGGAACTTTTCTAGGGATGCAATCTTATAGGGTCTGAATGACATGGGCAATGGTAAGATTTGTGACAGAATTGTGATAAGTCCAGCAAAGCCCACCTTGAAGGTAGAAGCAATTCGCTACATCTTTTATGCAAATGCTGGGTGTCAAGGTGAGATTCTTGCTCATCAGCAGCAAATTAACTATTAAGGGCCAATTAATGCTTTATGATTAATTGATTGCATATCTCACCTCAATAATATTGAGTTTCCAAAGTTCCCAAAGCCAACGAGCAAACTAGATGCTGGGAATTCTCAACATGGACTTCGGAGCAGACTCCAAATTGTTGCTGCCTGCAAAGAGCCTCCATGTTGCTCACGATAAAACTGTATCTTAGGGCAGAATCCAGGGGCTCCAGCCACATGCAGCACCCTCCATCTGCAAACACCAACATCTGATATTTGCCAAACATGCAGGATCCCTGTGGTACCTCTCCGATTCACATGCAGAACGCTTAAGAATCAAAGAGGTGCATGGCAGGGAGCAGCAGCAACTATCAATAAAAAGCTGCTGCAAGGGCAGTTTGCATGCAGGGACAGGCACCCAGCACATGGATTGGACCAGGTTGCACCTTAAGGCTATGTGTATGCTGTCTTGCCACTGGCTCACCTAATGCCTACCTGCACGCTCACACAATCCATGCCTTTCCTTGTTTTGTTGTCTCATGCCTGTTAACGCATTGGTGCTTCAGCCAGAACCTAAAGGCTATCAGCACTGCCATATTGACATGTTCTTTGTGCAGAGACATAGACAAGCTGCTCGTCATGCTTTTCAGCAGGGGATCTGGTCAGAGACGGGGAGGGAAGATTGTTTTGCTGCACGCTACACCGAGACATCAATCCAACACTGACATCATATGCCAGATGTCTTATGTACAAAAATACTGCCCGCTAATTCAACTAACTGGCCACATCAGAAAGTGTAAGGTGGGGGGAGTTCTAGTTCTCAGTCTGGGGGTGTGGGCAATAGTCATACATGTAAACCAACACTCAGCTGTAAGAGGAATCACTTATTGTCACTCAGGGGGAGTCGAAGGCAGTGATCTTGGGTCAGTCAGTCATGACTAGAGACCTCTCGTCAAAGTCAGTTAGAGAATACAGTCCTTGGATTCTGTGTGTTGATCTTTGAGGAGTGTGCTGGGCGTTGCGGGTGTTGGGGGGAGGTGGATTTTTCCACTATTGTCCAGACAGGGGTTGCTAAATGTTCCTGGCATGCTGAGCTCTGCACAATTGAAGTGATGTGCTGGCTACTGAGGAACTGAGGGAATGGGAGCAGTCTTCTAATTAGTCTTCTAACAGTCTTCTAAATACTAGTGAAGAGGATGAGGATGCCTAGATGTTAAACTCTTTTTCCACCACCTCTGGCTGTGCACCTATTTCTTTGACCGGGAGTCTAACCCGCCCTCTAATGACCCCTTCTTCCGCCTCCACCAAACCTCACCCCCTGGACACTACCCCACGGCCTACAACCCTCCCTCAACCTCTTAATCTCCAACTGCCGTCACGACATCGATCACCTCAATCTCTCCACCCCTCTCACTCACTCCATCCTCTCCCCAATGGAACACACAGCCCTCCATTCCCTCTGCTCCAACCCCAACCCCACCATCAAACTCGCAGATAAGGGGGTGCAGTAGTGGTATGGCGTACTGACCTCTACATCGCTAAGACCAGGCGCCAACTCTCTGGAGCCTCCTCCTAATGTCCCCTTGATTACGACCCCACCCCTGACCACCAAAACATCATTTCCCAGATCATCAATAACCTCATCACCTCAGGTGACCTCCCACCCACAGCCTCCAACCTCATCATTCCTCAATCCCGCACCGCCCGCTTCTATCTCCTTCCCAAAATCCACAAACCCGACTGCTCCGGTCAACTCATTGTCTCTGCCTTCTCCTGCCCCACTGAACTCATCTCCGCCTACCTTGACTCCATTCTTTCCCCCCAGTCCAGGAACTCCCTACCTACATTTGGGACACTATCCATGCTCTCCACCTCCTCCAAGACTTTCATTTCCCCGGCCCTCAACACCTCACCTTCACCATTGACATCCAGTCTCTCTACACCAGTATCCCCCATGAAGATGACCTAAAAGCCCTGCGCTTCTTCCTCTCCCTACAGGTCCAACCAGTCCCCCTCCACCAACATCCTCATCCACCTAACGGAGCTTGTCCTTACCTTGAACGACTTCTCCTTTAACTCCTCCCACTTCCTACAGACGAAAGGGTGACTATGGACACCCTTATGGGTCCGTGCTATTCCTGCCTCTTCATAGGACATGTGGAACAGTCCCTCTTCTGCAGTTACACTGGCACCATCACTCACCTCTTCCTCCACTACATCGATGACTGACTGTATCAGCGCCGCCTCGTGCTCCCATGAGGAGCTTGAACAGTTCATCAACTTTACTAACACCTTTCACCCCAACCTCAAATTCAGCTGGACCATCTCCGATACCTCCCTCCCCTTCCTGGACCTCTCCGTCTCCATTTCTGGTAAGCATCTCAGCATCAAAATCTATTTTAAACCCATCAACTCCCATAGTTACCTTGACTACACTGCCTTCCACCAACCCTCCCGCAAGAATGCAATCCCTTACTCCCAATTCCTCCACCTCTGCCGCATCTGCGCCCAAGATGGAGCATTCCACTCCTGGATATCCCAAATGTCCTCCTACTTCAAGGACCGTAACATTCCCTCCTCCAGTGCTTCATAAAGCCCTCAACCGGATCTCTTGCACTTCCCGCACTTCTGCCCTCAAACCCCCTCCCCCCAGCAAAAATAAGGACAGAGTCCCACTGGTCCTCAGATACCACCCCACCAACCTCCGCATCCAGTGCATCATCCTCCACCACTTTCTCCACCGGCAATCCCTCCCCAACCCTATCTGCTTTTCATAGGGACAGCTCACTCTGTGACTTCTTTGTCCGCTCCACACTCCCCGCCAACTCCAACACAACTGACACCTTTCCTTGCTACCACAGGAGGTGTTACACCTGCCCCTACACTTCCTCTCTCACCTCCATCCATGGCCCCAAATAGTCTTTCCAAATCCGACAGGGGTTCACCTGTACATACTCCAACCTGGCCTACTGTATCTGTTTCTCCCGATGTGGTCTCCTCTACACCAGTGAGACCAAACGCAGACTCAGTGACCGATTCACAGAGCACCCGCGCTCTGTAGACTATAATCAACAGCATCTTCTGGTTGCCAACTATTTTAACTCCCCCTCCCACTCCCTGGGTGACATGCCCATCCTGGGCCTCCTCCAGTGTCACATTGATATCACACATAAACTGGAGGAACAACATCTCATATTCCGCCTTGGGAGCTTACAGCCCAATGGTCTCAGCATAGAATCCACCAGTTTCAACATCTCCCCACCCCCGGCCTCATCCCAAGTCCAACCCTGCCTCTCATCGTTGCCTCCTTGACCTGACACAACCTGTCCATCTTCTTTCTCACCTATCCACCCCACCATTCCCATGACCTATCTCCACAACCCCTACCTGCATCCACCTATTACCATCCCAACTACATTCCCCAACTCCCCCCCCCCCCCCCCCTCTTTTTTTTTTAGCTCCCTCCCCCCCCCCCCCCGAGTCATGATGAAGGGTGTAAACCTGAAACATCGACTTTCCTGCTCCTCTGATGCTGCCTGACCTGCTGTGTTCCTCCAGCTCCACACTGTATTGACTCTGACTCCAGCACCTGAAGCTCTTGCTATCTCCGAGGATGAAGACACTTCCCTTGTGCATGACCATGTTCATCTGCATTGGGTTATACAAAGCAGACAGGAGCTGATTGACATCCCATTCCATTAGATGAGAGCAGGATACAGCAGAAAATCATGGAATGTTAAACTGTCAATGGCCACCATTTGGCTGGCATTGTGAGGAAAAACTGCAGCCTCTATTCATTCTGTTTGTGTTCACTTTTGCTAGCTGTAAATAAAAACTCATGTTTGGAATTGTCAGATTGCTTGTCTATTTGTGATGTTTCCCTCCTGAACTATTACAAAATGTGGGTGTATAGTGGGCACTGAGAACACAGTAGCAGTAACTTAGAGAGTGTGGTGAGATAGATGCAGCTAAGGACAGGTCACGTGTATGGCCTGGTGGCTAAACAGTGATTACGGTGAGAGAATGGAGGTTGTA